GGACCCGACGCGCCTCCCTTGGCCCGGGTCTGACGCGGGAGCGTCCCGGGCTCCACCTCTCTGGCCCGGGCAGCGGGGTGCGGCGTGCCGTCCTGCCCGCCCCGCGTGACGTCCTGCCGCAGGGTGGCCCCCGGGAGCAGGGCACCGGCTTTCCAGGGTAAAAACACCGGGCCGCTCGTCTGCACGGGCAGCCTCTTCCTGCCCCGGCTCCGGGCAGCTGCACTTGGCACAGCCGGTCCCAGGCCCTTGGCTCTGAGGAGCAGCGCCAGTCAGAAACAGGAGAGCGTCTGCGCGCGCGGTTCCTAGTGTCGGTGCCTCCCCAACCTCAGTCCAGTAATCCTAGGTCTGGAGCCGGCTGAGGTGTTGCTCTTGGTAAGGCTGGGAGATCTGTCCTCTTCCTGCCCCGGCTCCGGGCAGCTGCACTTGGCACAGCCGGTCCCAGGCCCTTGGCTCTGAGGAGCAGCGCCAGTCAGAAACAGGAGAGCGTCTGCGCGCGCGGTTCCTAGTGTCGGTGCCTCCCCAACCTCAGTCCAGTAATCCTAGGTCTGGAGCCGGCTGAGGTGTTGCTCTTGGTAAGGCTGGGAGATCTGTGTCCCGATTGGACCGGTGTAGTTGGACCAGTGGAAATGAACCAGATCCTGTTTCTGCACATGAGATGTAGCAGATTGCCAAGGGTAGGAACAATTTTTTTTTCTTTAAATGTGAGAAATCATAAAATACTAGGTACCTACTATGACTATGACGTTAGTTTAACCCCCGTAGTTATTCACCATGGTACATATACAGCTCTCTCCCAGCATTGCTTTTTTTGAATCTTCCACTAGTGCAGTGGTTCTCAACTTGTTTCAGTCCACGGACCACCAGGCTAATCAAAAAATTTTCGTGGACCACTTCCTTTCTGAGACATGATAAAAAAAGAGCAGACAACGAACATTTTGGTTTGAAATTTATTTCTTACTAACAGATTTTTTTGATTTGCTTCTCACTGATAAGCTATTCAATGTTTGGAATGGTACTTGATAATTCACAGTGAATATTGCTTTCCACTACAAGCCGATTCCTCTGTTTGGACTTAATGTGCAACAAACACGAAAGTCCAGTCTCACACATATAAATTGATGCAAATGGCAAAAAAAATATCTGACTGTGTTTGCTGACAGATTTGGGTAACTCCCTGTCACGCTGGCCCAAAATTTCTCTATGGTAGACTGCTGGTACACGTCTTGAGCCGCAAAATCATTTTTCAGAGCCAAGAATTCCTCCTGCAGATCCTCTGGAACACTGTTAACATCTGTTGTAAATGGATTCCTGATGAAAGATAATTCATCCGTTGTCCTGTTCCCCTCCAGAAAGTATCGTTGGAGTTCGTCTCGTAGCTTCCATAAATGATCGAGAACTTGCGTCTGAATGGCTTCCTTTTCCCCCGAGCATGGCCTCCACATATGGAAATTGAACCAAATTATTGCCTTAGACTCTTAAGATCCAGAATTCCAATTTGTCAAGAAAAGCCTTGATGATGCTTTGGTGAGAGAATGGATTTGCACCTGTCTCTTGCAGCTGAAGATTCAGTTTGTTCAAGATTCCAAAAATATCAACAAGATACAAAAGTTCTAAATTTGACTGCGTCAACACATTTTGGAATTCCTTTTTCCCTTGATCCTGGAGAAATAAATCCAATTCCTCTCTCAATTGAAAAGCTCTGTTGAGTATATTACCTGTTGGCAGCCACTGTACAGAAGTGTAGAACAGCAACACATCAAAGTCGGAACTCATGTCCAGGCAAAATCTTTTGAACAGCCTGGTGTTCAGAGCCAGTGATTTGATGTGATTGACTACTTTCACCAACCCTTTGAAAACGGCATTCAGTTGATCAGTCGATGTTTTGGACGCCAAAGCTTCCCTATGAATGAAGCAATGAACCATTGGAGCATGCTGTTTCACCAACGTTTGGAAGCCCGATTTTGAGCCCAGCATGTCAGGTGCACCATCAGATACCCACAAGATTTACCCAATCCCCAGACCATGTACTTCAAAGAAATCGTTAACAATTTTCATCACATCCTGAGCCTTTGTGGTGGTATCAAGAGTCTTACAAAAAAGAAACTCATCTTTGAAGTCTCCCTCAACCATGTATCATGAGAACACCCAATAGCTGAGAGCACAATGCAATGTCGGTCGATTCATCTAGTTGTATGGCAAACAATGGAGACTTCTTTATTTCATCCACAACTTGTTCACTGATGTTCTGTGATATCTCATTTATCCCTCTCGATACTGTGTCGTTAGAGACAGATATATCATTCAGCTTCCTTGCTGCTTCTTTGCCAAAAACAAGCCACACCACCTCTTTTGCACTGGGAAGCACAAGTTGCTCTACAATGGTATGAGGCTTCTTGGCCTGTGCAACTTTGTATGCAACAATGTAGGAAGCGCGCACTGCATTGCTTGACTTATTGTAGAATGCACTTGTTGAGTCGAGGCGCTGCCGTTTCAGACTTGATAACCGCTGCTCAAAATAATCTTCATCCTTTTGCAACAAGTTGGGGTGACACTTTTTGAGATGGAGTTTCAGCTTAGCCGGCTTTATTGAATCATTCCCCAAGACCTTGAAACAAATAACACGTGGCAAATTCACACCTTCTTTTTCTTGACAAGCGAAGCCGAATTTGATGTAGTTCTCCGAATACTTGCACTTGACATTTCTTCCTGTTGTTGCCATTATAAACAAACTACACCACATCTGTAAAACAGCACATGTACAACAGGATGAACGACACAGCAACCGCTCAGCACGACGGTGGCAGCTACACTAACACTCAGAACCTCAGACAGAAGTTACTGGCAACGCAACGCAGTTGCATCCTAGGTAACTCTATGGATGATGTGCTGCGTGCTTGTGAACACGGCATAAAACAGCCTAACAGTGGCGCCTGCTCACACCATGTGACTTTGGACAATGTTCCTGTGGACCACCAAAAAAGTCACCATGGACCACCAGTTGAAAACCACAGCACTAGTGCATTCCAGTATCTCTGTTCTGCTGCTGGTCAGAGATTTTCTGAAGCACCAAGAGAATGAAAGGAGGGTATCTATTATCAGTGTCTGAACATAAGTATACAAGGTATTTTTATTTTGTTGTCCAAAGGGCATTGACAGCAAGGCAGCAAAATGAAGTGCTCCAGCCATTCTTTATGGTGCACCAAGTCAGCCTTGTACACCTGCCTTTTAGGAGGAGCATTCGTTACCTTGGGCTCAAGTCGTATTCTCCTGATGAAGTATTCTGCCAATGAAGGTAAGCTTGGATGTTTAATACATAATGTACTGCATGCAGAAGTTAGAGTTTTCCATTTAGAGTAAAACAATGTAGATGCTGAGATTAAAGCCTTCTATTGCAAATATATTTACTGGCTTCAATCTCCTTTTTGTGGGCTGTGTTTGCTGTTGCCTTTCACCTGCAGGTTTGTTGGGGGCATAAATGTTTCAGGGCAGATTCTGTTTTTGGGGGAGCAGTGCACTTACTGGATACAGGAGATCTGGATTCTGTTCCTCATTTTGCCACTGACTTGCTGCATAACCCTGGGCAAGTCTGTGCATGTTTCCCTATCAATAAAATGAGGATAATATCACCTCTTTCATGTAAATCTCTTTCAGATCATCTGATGACAAGAGTGATATAGGAGCTGCTTGCTTTTATTTTGCAACAGGTTTTTCCTATGCTGAAAACCTTTTTAGCTTTGATGCTAACCGTATGCTTGTTGTTGGAAGGTGCTGTCCCTTCAACTCTCACAGGAGTCAGCCTTTTTGGATCAGGTCTTTTGTTACTATATAGCAGAAGTGGGCAGTAATTTTTGATTGAGGGGCCACTTCAAGATTTTGATAAGTGGTTAAGGGACATGCTCCCCTGTGTAGGGAGTATGGGATCTGAGGCGGAGGTTAGGTGCAGAAGGAAGCTTGGGGTAGGGGATTGGGGTGTGGGAGAGGATGTGGGGTCTGGGAGAGCGTTTGAGTGAAGGAGCGGGTTGTGTCCTAGGGTAGGGATGTGAACAACTAGTCAACTATCCGATAAGCAAATGCCTATTGGACAGTTTACAGGCTAGTTGACTAGTTGCTTCCCTCCCCCCCCCCTTGTTGCCTCTATCAGGAAGAGGCGAGAAGGGGGTACTCAAAAGCAGCAGTGCCACATGGAGCCTGGGGCCAGACTCCAGGCTCCACGCGGCACTGCCACTTTGAAATGCTGCATCCCTAGGCTGCACACGGCATTTCAAAGCGGCAGCGCCATGTGGAGCCTGGGATCAGCTGGGGACTCCCCCGCTGACCCCAAACTCCATGCGATGCTGTCGCTTTGAAACACCACGGGGAGCCTTATGTCGGGCTCCCCACAGCGTTTCAAAGCAACAGCGCTGCATGGATTCCTGTGCATTTCAAAGTCATGGAGCCTGGGGTCAGCGGGGGACTCAGACTCCCCAGCTGATACCAGGTTCCACAGAAATGGCGTGTTGGATCCTGGGAACAGCTGGGGAGTCCATGCTCCATGCACAGCAGCACAGCTAATCCTGGAATCAGCCATGCGGCGCTGCCCCTTTCAAATGCCAAGACAGCATTTTAAAGGATCAGCACCGCACAGCTGAGCTGGGAATCAGCTGTGTGGTGGCAGCGCCGTGAAGCCCTGGGTCAGCTGGGGACTCCCCAGGCTCCAGCGCAGCATTTCTGGGAACTCCCCAGCTGACCCCAGGTTCCGAGTGGCACTTCTCTGAAACCCGGGGTCGGCTGGGGACTCCCAGGTGCCCTGCCCATGCCAGGGGCAAAAATGCTAGCTCACCGGGGATGCAGCTGACACTCTTGGAAGGAAGTGTTGGGGAAGCTGGTGGTGACTGAGCAGGTAGGTGGCTGAGGGTTGGAGTCCTACCTAACTGGAGGCAACCACCACAAGCTTCCCGAGGAACAGAGCTGATTTTGGGGCAGCGATGGAGCCCAGGGTCAGCTGGGGACTCCCCAGCTGACTCCTGTTCAACACAGCATTTCCCCTGAACCTGGGATCAGCTGGGGAGTCCCCGGGCTCCACGGCGCTATGGCATTTTAAAGAGGCAGCTGAGCCGTGGATATCTTCCCCCACCCCCCGTTGCTTACCTCTGTATCATAGAGGCTGCAAGGGCACGAGGGCGGGGGAGAAATCGACTAGTCAGCAGACTCTCCGATAAGCAAATGCTTATCAGTCAACTAGTCCTAAACATCCCTAGTCTAATCCTTAAAGAATGGTTAGCCACTTTAAAAATCTCAAACTTGTAAAATTGTCAGATTTGTGTTGTATGTGGGGGGAAAAAAACAAAGCTCAAATTTACTTAAATTGGGAAAGTAGCATTCTGTAAAGGCTGAACTAATTGTAATCAAGATTTCCTAAGGAATTCAAACTTGTGAGCTTGAGACTAAGCTTGGAAACGTCAGCCTGGAAAGCAAAATGTTCAAGAAGTTGTGTGCCATTGAAAATTTGGAGTATTTATAATTATGGTAATGAACGTAACCTTAACTTAAAAGGGTACATCATTTATGGGACCTGGTGAAAACTTTTGAATGCGTGCATTTAAGTGGTTCTCAGGGAATTATTGTGCTCTTTCTGTTGCTTTAAAGATGACTGAAAAAGTTGGAGGAGTATGAATGTTTATTTGCTGTAATAATTTTGCTGAATTCCACAGATAACAAATATGATTATCTTCCTGCAACTGTGAATGTGTGCTCTGAGCTAGTAAAATTGGTGCTATGTATGGCAGTGGCACTTTGGATAACTACAAAAGGTAAGTTCATATGCCTAAAAATCCATTAGGAAATTGTTCACCTTGTATTTTAAATCCTTCTGCTCTTGTATGATGGATTCAGTACAATCATTAGACTCTCCCATGGTACACCATGTGTGTAGTACACCTACAGTAGTAATTGAGACAGCATCTTCACTGAGAGTTAACTTGAATTATACTCTGCACTCAGTTACATTAATTCAAGAGAAGTTAGCTTGAGTGACAGAGGTTACGTTGTGAAATAATATGGAGCATTTGTGTAAGCTTCATAGAATGATTGGGTTAGCAGCTGACAAACTCAAGCTGTAGGTTTGGTCTACATGTGGAATTTATATTTGCATAGACCCTACTGAAGACTCAGTTATGTTGATAATGCTTCCATCAACATAGCTGACATTATTCAGGAAAGTAGTATCATATGCTAACCTGCTATCTTGGTGTAGGCCAAGGGTGGGCAGTAACTTTTGCCCAGGGGCCACTTCAAAAAATTTTGAAGTGGCTGTGGGCCATGCTGGAAGAGGTGGGGCCTACGGAGGAAGGGGCAGGACTACCCCACCTCCAGATCATGATTAGTCTGGGGGAGGGAGAGCCTCTTTGTCCCCCCCTTCCCACTAGGCACCCATGCTCTGGAAGAAGCTTGGTACGCTCCCCTGTCCCCAGGCCTTAATTGGCTTGAGGGCGGGGGAGAAGCAGGGCCTCTGCGGGCTGGATCCTGCCTGCGGAGTCCCTTTTGCTCACTTGTGGTGTAGGCTGTGTTTGTGATACAGGACTGTGCTGGTATATTTATGCTGGTATAGTCTCTTGAATGCAGACATACCCATGATTTGTATGCCCTGACAGGCAGCCAACTCACGTTAAAAGCATCATCAGGCTGTAGTGGAGGATTTTTTGTATGGATAGGGCTTGAGCTAGGGACGACACTCAGGTAATAATGTGAGTTAGCTCTGATTCTGAAGTAATGACAACCCCTGCATCTATGATCTTTTCACATTTTATCAGCTAAGCAGGTTAGGCTTCACTACCTAATGCTATGAAAAGTGCTGATGGTGACTGTTACCGCTCTCTCAAAATTCCCTGGACTGTGAATCACCTTATTACCCTTTGCTGCCAGTAGGAAGGAGTTTTACCTGTGCCTAGCTGGACATCAGCTCTCTACTGCCAGCCTGTCAGCCACTGAAGCACTTTCCCCTGAGCTACACTAGCCTTGTCTTTACCGTGCAGGTTAACAATAGGTGCACTCTGGTCCGTCAGTCTTTTTAAAGAGTTTCTTTTTGATATGCAGCCCCTGAAATTGGCTATTCTCAGAAATCCCAGATCTCCTGTCCCCAAAGGCACAATGTACTGTACTGCAGTTTACTAGTTTTACTTGAAATCCTCTCCCCTATATAGTGCACAAGAGCGTAATAATGGAGACAAAAGAGAGTAGTGGAAACAAATGGTTACAATACATGCAAAACACTAAAGGATGAATTTACATCTACATTCATTAATAATTATCGTTTCTATCTAAAAAATATAGTCTGTAGCAGATCTGGCTTATTTCACAGAAACTGGAATCCAGTTTGTCATG